GTGTGTATATATATATATACACGGAGGTCTAGTGCGACATATTCTGTGTGTGTATGTATGTACATGGGTGTGTTTCTTTGCTAAGTCTATGTATATGTGTGTAAGTATTGCATGGTTCAGCATGCACATGCGTATTACGGGAATACTGTGTGCGTGTGTGAGGGAAGTCTGGCTGTATATGCACAAGGATGCCTATAGAAGCAAGCACTAGTTCATGTCGTGGGCGTGTAGCACTCGAAGCATCTGGGTGACAAAGAAACAAGATCCACATGTGTGCAGCGTACACACGACAAGACTCTGCGTTTAGCACTCTGCGATGGTTCATGGTAGCTTAGAAGCCACCTTCAACACCATCCTTCAACACCTAAAGACAACGGCTGCTGTAAGTTTGATTCCGCCTTCTACTTCAGTGCGACGCCAAGTGCGCTGACAGCAGGCTCCCAAGAAAGCTCCGCTTACTGGACCGGGCCGGAGCTTCACTGTCACCATCGAGGCAAGTTATGCTGAGTGCTTCGTCAAGCCTGAGAAGTATTATCGCAGCCCGAGCAGTGCCACTTCATACTCATTCATGTTATGATGAGCTTGTGCCTCCGTTCCTCGCTACGTACTAGTATCTTGCAACGACCAGCAGTGCAAATATGCCTGCTACTACTATCACAGCAGTCTTCTCCTAATTATTTGCACATCACTGGGTGTGCTAGTCGAACACCTGTTTCCATGTCGATGCCATTCTAGGATGCTGCAAGCACGCATTGAAGTGACATTTTCTGAAGTCTGTAGCGCCTTTTGATGCAATGCTTTACATCCATTGGCTGTTGCTATCACAACACTGGTTGTTCGACATAGTCGCCATCATCAAGTCAGAGTGAGTATCACTGTCACCATTAGCACACAATCATCAGAACCAGCATCAGAATTGCGCCATCATCATCGACATCAGCATTGCTGCCAGTCAGTCGCTAGCTTTCTGTACGATGCAAGGCTTTGTTGGACTGGTTGCGACTTTTACTCTGGCCTGGTCTTTCCAGAAAGAAGCATCATTACGTAGTGCTGTTACACAGATGATGTTTCGATATTGCAGGTAGATTTCTTCTGCTAGTTTTATGATGGGGATGCCCGAAGCTGTCCTGGGTCGGTCAGTAATTGCTTCTGGGGAAGGCCACGCGTGAAACTGGCCTCGTGCTGGACGATCTTGATGCTCGAGGTGTGGCGTGGGAGGTTGGAGTCGGTTGGAGGTTGGCACTCTTCAACAAGCAACCGGAACCTAAGTGCACACAACAATGTAACAACAAGTTTCTACTTTGTCACCGGGTTGCCGTACAACCTCAGATATCATGGCTCTCAGCAATGCAACTGGACTGAGCTCCTGTCCATCATCAGCGGAAGGACAGCATAGATGGTTATGATCGTGTAGGTTGGAGAGACATGATGACATGTCCTTCGTCAAGTTGTGGAATAGAGCCACCGTCACAGCAACTAATTCAATCTTGTGGTCAAGTTGTGATAATTAATGCCATACTTGTCAGATGCAATGGCCAGCCGATGGCTCGCCAGTCGCCGTGTATTGGTCGTGCCGGGTGCGATGAAATCGGGAACCTGCTCGTTGCGAGCGCAGCTGCAATGGATGGCAAACGGGGACGACCTGTCCCTGCCCTCACAGGAGCTTCATTTCTTCGATGAGGACGAGGAATGGGCCCGCGGTCCTGCATACTACGCCTCCTGGTTTGAAGACTGCTCGATGATCGGAGACGTGACCCCGAGCTATCTGTACATCCCTGCAGCCATCGAGCGCCTTGCAGACCAGCTCCCGCAAGCACAGCTTGTCGTCTTGTTGCGGAACCCCATCGCTCGCGCAGTGAGCCACCAGAACCATGACCACGACAAGAACCGCCCAGTCGGCAGCTTGTCGCAGCGCTATCAAAAGGAGATGGCAAGCTACGGCTCCCCTCCAAGCCGCTCGGACGCCTTCCGCCGGGGCCTCTATGCAGAGCAGATGGAACGGCTCTTGCATTTTTTCCCTGCAGACCAGGTGCTGGTGATCATCGCGGAGCGCTATCGCAAGCAGCCGGAGAAAGAGCTTCGACGCATCCGAGCCTTCTTGGGCCTGAAGAGCGTCTGGTTTCCTGCAGAAGCTTTGATGGAAGAGCATGTGCGCCCTGAGTACTCGGAGCTGCTGTCTGCCCCGCTGAGGGAGGAGCCTTGGCATGGAGGGGTCTTGTAGTTTTTTGTTCTGGTGTGCTCGAAGGACAGGTGGAGTTAGGGAAGATCTTTCTGTCATGCACTGCAGGAGCTGCGCCGCTTCTATGCTGCCGATGTCCAACACCTTCGGGGTCTGCTGGGAGATCCTCTGAAAGACTGGGATGCAGACTTCGCCACTTTCCGGCCCCCTGTCCTTCTCCGGCCCCGCTACGTTGTGTCCTGGCTGCCGGTTGGTTCTTCAACGTCGGCAGAGTCGGAAGTATCGCGGGAGCTGGTCGAGCGGCAGCGGAGGTCGCCTAGCCCGACTTCTTCCGGTGTTAGTGTAGACCACACACACTGAGCATCGATGCTTCTCGCGGCCCTGCATGTTCATCGGGCACCCCAGAAAGGCGCTTGGCAAATCCTTTGCCCTTCGTCCAAGCCACTGACCCGCAGATCGTGACACCAAACGTGATCCACTCTTTGGCAGCTGGTACATCAGGCACCGCTTGTGGTTGTGGAGGCCACATGTGATTGTGGACTTCGTGGAGCAATGGCTGGTGTGGGATCTTCGCAGCCTGATGTAGCTGATCACAGACCAGAGAACCAACAGGCAGCTCGACGACCGCTCAAGAGCTTCAGCCTCGCTTGAACAGGGCCTAGAATCGGCCATCGTGGGCCGGACACTTCGAAGAGCTTTTTTGAGCGAAGCGGTCCCTGCTCGCATCAAGAATCATCGGGGTCTTGTCGCGAAGCCTAAAAGGCAGCTGGCCCGCTGAGCAAGAGAGTAAACAAGGTGTGGATGCGACGGCCAAGGCGTCAACCAAATGGGCTCAGAGCACACGAGTTTGAATTGCGACACCAAGCAATGACTCAAAGAGTGCCTTCCTGGAATCGCAGGACAACACAATCGTCCCTATTAGGGCGGACATCAGGGCTAAACCCATGTGATGGTGGAGGTTGTGGTGGTGATGAACAGTTATACCCCAACCCCGAGCTGTAAAGACGGAGTCCCCAAGGAAGACTTGCCATCTCCGGACTCTCACTGTGGACAATGTTGGGATTTGCCTTCGGGATGTTCAGGGCTTGAGGGGCGAGAATGAAGTTGAAGTTAGTTGCGGAACGGCTTCAAGGCTTTCGTTCTTGCCTTATCTTCAGTGTCTCCTTCTTGAGAGGCTCTTCAGCTTCCAAAGAACACATGTGTCTCGATCTCGATGACCGGATCAGTGGTATGATAATGGTCATGATGACGAAATTTTGGTGAGGGTGTTGACTTTGACGATGTTGTTGAAAATGAAGCTGCGAGTTGAGGGTTTGACCGCTTCCAGGTCCTGTCATTGCGAGCATTCCGGAGGGGGCCGTGCAGGACTTCAACATGAAGAATCCAGCATCTGCTGTCTGCCCGAACGACGCTTTTGTGCGCCCAGTTTAGTAAAGTTCAAAGCGTGATGGGCTAGAGCTTTCGGGTTTGGGGTGTAACGGAGAAGGCTGTTGCTGCAAGAGCACATGTGCCTTGCAGCTGAGGATCTGATTCTGGCAGTCAATGCAGTGGAGGGAGAGGCTCTTTGGCTCTTGGAATCCTCGGGAGACCCGTTGAGGGTTTTTCCAAGCACCATCAGGCAGTTTGTCAGAGTGCCAGCAGAATGTTTTGGCGGAGGCTTCATCAGCCCAGGTGAAGGCGATTATCCAACAGCTCCAGTCTTTGGACAAGACGCCTTTGACTCTGAAGATTCTGCGGCCGCAGGACTTTAGGATCCCGGCGATGTAAAAAGCTTGACGTCGTTGAGAGAGGAGATGAAAATCTCCATGGGCAAGAAGCCCAACGCTTCCCTCGGCCTGCAGATGAACTTCTCCTCTTTCTCTGCTGGGTGCCTTTACTGACAAGTAGTCATGCAGTCGACATGTGCACCGCTCGGAGCATGAAGAACAGGGCCGTGGTTGACATGATCGCCGAATCAGGACCGCACCTAGCAGAACTAGCTGTAATGAGCCACTCCAGCATCTCTGGGCAGATCTTCTTACGAGTTAAGAAGCTGCTACACAGGAGTGGCATATGGCTGGAACGAATCGCAGCCGGAGGCCGGGAGAGAAGCCTTGCGAGCCTTTTCACGGGCTGCAAGTCGCGCGGCAGGAGAAGAGGCTCCGGCGAGGAGACCGCCTGGTGGCCATTGATGGGCAATACCTCAAAGGCAGAGCGGCGAGTGCGGCAAGTGCTGTCCTGCCATGTTCTTTTCCCCTCTGCAGGCGAGGAGATGATCGAAGCCCTCAAGCAGAAGAAGGGACAGGACTTCGGGCTCCCGGGTTCAAGCTGTGCCTCTTTCGACTTGTCCTGGAGCCGTGGTGTTCGTGATTTTAGCTAGTTCAGCAGTTCAGCCGTGCTGGTGCTGGAGCAGCGAAAACGTTGTTGGATCCACTTGAAAGAGCCGTTTGGTCGGCTCGGGAGCCAAGTTTGAGGCTCGGGCGGGGCTTGGGGCGCCATGGCGCACAAGTCCAACCCCTACAAGAAGGCCGGCAAGTGCAATTGCACGTCTGGTGCCATCATCTTGCAGTCCCGCTCGTGCCTGGTATGAATCCTTTTCGGAAGACAGCCTGCTGGCGCCAGGCGCGCTCGAAGTTCCGCTGGAAGTGGAAGAAGAAGCGCACGCGCCGCTTGCAGAAGAAGCGCCGAAAGATGCGCCAGCGCTCGAAGTGAGGAGGCCCGCATGTCTTACAATAAGGCCAAGGGAGGCTATGAACAAGTTCATGCACAGCACTCTGAACTGGAGGTGCTTACAGCCTGCGCAAATGAAGCGACAGAGGAGTGAGATCGCTCCTTGGAGTGTGCCCTTTTCTTTGTGTTATGTGCTGTGGAGGCCAGCCCTGTGCCCTGGACCCGTTTGCTCCCTGAGGCTGGGCCACCTTGACGTGCATCAATTCCCGACGTGACGCCAGCTGGCAGAGAAATCCAGGGACGGTGGGGGAAAAGCCTTTAACCAGCATTGCAGCTGCTAGCATCTTTGGTGATGGGGCCTTCTCTGTCGTCCGACTATTGACTATTGCTCAGACACGGCACCGAGCCTGCAGAGCCATTTGGTTTCGAGAGCCAGACTGAAGGTACTGTAGGCCCGAAGATGTCCTTGCTCACCCCAAAACCGTCTGAGTCGGGTGACTACAAGTCTCGGAGCCTGGCAACTCCAGGATATGCATGGCTTAGGACCCAGCCGGCAGTTCATGGACCTTGGCCAGCTTGATAGTCCCACAGTACCACAAACCAGCCTAGAAATGCTGCATTCCACGTGTTTGCAGTTTCCCCTTCTAAACTCTTTGTCCAGTCGCAAGCCCATGTCTGCCACTGCAGACGCGGGGGAGCAGGCGTCCACTCGGCGAAGGCCGCTTGCGCACTTCCATTCCAAGCCTCTTGGACCCCGAAGCCCAGCGCCGCGCGCCAGGGACATGACCTCCGAGCCCCGGCGCCTGCCATGCCCGGAGGAGCTGAAGTTTCGTGCAGCGAGAGACGGCTTGCAGACAACTTAAAGCACTGTCCTGCAGCGCATCATCGACATGGTCGGCTTCGCCTTCGGTTGCGGAACACTGGGTGGCTTCGGCTGCGGGCTCAGAGGCTGAGAGCCTGTAGTTTCCTCTCGGCAGCGCTGGCTGCTCACGTAGGCCACGACAGACAGCAGTCCGGTTACTCGCCCCCCTTTTGACAAAAACTGAGCAGACTTTTCTCAGACTCCGCCAGAGTTGAGGGCTTCGACCACGGATCTTTTCTGCTTTAGAGGATCCTCTGTGCCAAGGCATGACCTTCACACGCAGCCTCAGAGATCATCCCAAGGCGGGGATGTGGACAGAGCGCAGCCGATACAGAGTCTTCTCCGCGAGGGCCACCGCTTCTCCGGCGCCTTGGCGGCCGCGGGGTTCCCAGCGGAGGGAGAACGCGCTCAGCTTTCGCCGCTGCAAGCCGACCCAAAGGAGGCCCGAGACATCCCAAGACTTGCACTGTTGCCAAGGCCCAGGCCAGGGCGCCCCAACTGGGCAGCACCTTTGCGTTGTGGCCAAGATCTCAAGTGGAGAATGGAGCATGTTACAACTGACTAGATACAAATGGATTTTTTGGATTGAACATAAGCAAAACAGCAACCACAAAAGATCAACAAGAACGCACAAGCACTCGAGCACATGCACGTGCACGCACACACAAACACAGAGACATCCACATGCTTTTGACTTAATGACATGGTAGTGTCTGCACGGGCGATTGACTTGCCTGCTTACCTGCCTGCCTGCCTGCCTGCCTGCCTGCCTGCCTGCCTGCCTGCGTACCTGCCTTCCTACTGCAACTCATCTTGGCTACCAGCCACAAACGAAGGAAGCTAGATACGAGAAAGTCATTCTGGACACAACGAGACGCAAGGTTGTGCTCCAAGGTGATACATGTTCTTTGATTAGACCAGACTGGATACGATAATGTGGACAGCTAGCTAGCAAGGTGGGTGGTGGACGGACAGATATGTAGATGTTCAAGTTCAAGCCTACAGAAAGATTGATGGAATGCGAGTGGAAGGGAAGCAGCCGTTTTCGTTGCGCGGCCAGGGCATCTGCTGCAAGCCTCGCCGCGCGAAAATTGGGAGCCAGCACCCGACGTGACAGTTGGCATGCTGGATTCAGGTCAGGCCTCTTTCACGCTTTCGAGTGCGCGGCTGCGGCCTTGGTGAATGGCACGAACACTCGACACCGAAGCGCACAAAGCAGAGCCAGTCGAGGGTGCTGTCTGCAAGGTCTCGCAGCGGCATCCGGATCCACAAGGACGCTTTGACGCTTTCACGGCTTTCTGTCTCGGCCTTCCGAAGAGGAGCTCGATCCTCGCTGGATGCGGCTTTCTGCGGCTTCTTGACGGCGGGGGTGCCGTCCTCAGACCCCCTCAGAGGCCCCCCTTGTCCCCTCTGAGCTGACCTCCATGAGTGCGAGGTGCTGTCCATCCGCCAGGGTCCGCGGGTGGCCTCCATGAACGCAGCGGCTAGCGCCCGAGTCTGAAAGTCATGCCTGCGACGCAATAGGTACAAGTAATGCACATTGGGCGACCCCTGGGGTCGGTAGATGCTAGACTCTACTCAGTTGATCTTGTGGGAATACCTCGGGAGGTTGGCGCTTTCTGCGTGGCCCTCGTTGATGTGGTGTCAGGCGTGGGATCGCACACCGGACATGCAAGGGCTTGAGGTAAGGCTGTGGCTGTCCGTTGGGCAAAACCATCCACATCCTCTATATATATATATATCTCATCCGATGAGACGGCACATGCGAACCTTGCAGGGACTGCGCGCCTTTGATGTGAGCGGGGCTTGAGACCAAGCGTGTGCAGAGAAAGGTGCCGATTGCCGATTTGATGCTCAGGGATTTGTGCCTCCCATGCTCTCACCACTGCCCATGTACTCGGCCGGGCTCAAGATTGAAGTCCGGCCAACATTATGTCCGACGCCTCCCGAGCTTCGCCAGGATATCGAATTGACAATTCCAGGAGGGTGTCAAGTTTCTCCCTTGGCTCCTCTGTTCATTTGCAGGCCCTAGCTTGAATAAATGCCGCTCGTGGCATAGGACTGTGTCGCTCTGCACCTTCAACGACCAGAGCCGCCTGGTGCTGACCAAGGAAGGCTCCCCGCAGAGTCGCAGGCCCGCACTCCTGAGGTGCGGCAACTAACAGAAAGACGAGAGCGACGACTGTGTTTGTGCCTGTGGACCTCGGAACCTGGTATCATCTCATCTGCATCTGAGAACGCGTCTCGGTGCCCCCCCTCCCCCCTGGTGTCCTGGACGTGATCGTGGCAGCCGCGGCTGGTCAAGTGCTTTGGGATGGTCTGGCCGAGCTCTGTTGGTCGCGGCCGGGACAGCGACTAGCACCAAACGGACGAGCTTCTGTACGTAAAGGTGCAGGACGGAGGAATCGACTACAAAGCCGTAAGGGAGCCGCCCGCCGTTGTGCCGGATTGGCTTCCAGAGCTCCTCGGACAGATGGATCGGCTGACATTCTGGGAACTCGTCCGTACGAAAGCACCGGTCGAGCCGGCTCCCGGCCCCCTGAAGTTGCAGAAAATCTTCGATGAACCACAGACTGCGTTGGAGAGGGAGGACTTGGCCCGTGACGTGCAGTACATGGAAGTGGTCGGGAAGAGCACACTGCGGCTGGCGGCAGCGGTGGCAGAATCCGCACGCGACCCAAGCCGGACGCGGGAGAGCTTGAGCAGCCAAGTGGAGAAATACTTGGATGAAGCACGTGCGGCAGACTTGCTCATCAAGACCGGCCTGATCGATCTGGGCACAAGGAGCGGCGTTTGCAAGATGTTCTAGGCATTTCTGGGAGCCCACAGGTTGGAGGGTGACATCTTCTCGGTCCCGGACCGTACCTTTGCGTGCGCTTTGAAGATTCGGATGACGGCACTTATCGTTGGAGGGAGAACGTGCCCGAGGAGAAGAGGCCCGAGGTGCAGTCCGTCTGGAGGCGCTTACCCTACGACTACCTGTCTGGCACGTTCTGCAGCCCTTCCATGAAGTTCTGGAACAGTGATGGTTGCAGGTACCGTCCTCTTCCCAACACGCTCTGCGCGTGGCTCAGGGGACGCAGCATGCAGAAATTGGTCAGATGCACGCCCACCATGAACCAGACGCCACCATATGACTTCCTTCGAGAAGAGGAGAAGAAGGAGACGGACGTGAAGGGTGCCGTAGCGATAGTCACGTTCTTGTTCGTATGCTACAAGACCCTGCAGGGGGAGGTCTGCTACCGGCGATCGACCAAAGGAGGAGCGAGGAATATTGGCAAGGAAAGAAGTGCACGCTAAGCTACTCCGAGAGCGCGAAGACCTTGCCGTCAGGAGTACTGGCGGGCCACGGGTGTCTTCGTAAGGTCGCCTGTTGGCTCATGGACAACCGATGCCTTGCCGATCTCACCCCCGGCCGGTGGACGGGTCTGAAGGGAGGTAAAGATTACTGCGACTAAACAGTTACCCCTCTGGCGAACGGACGAGTGGAGGAGCGTCGCAAGGGTGTGACCACCACCCTGAGGGCCGCGGAGGCATCGGTAGCCACGGATTTTCCTCATCCAGCTCAGTCGGGACATGAGAAGCATTCGTGTTTTTCGTGTTCAGGCCGGACCAGACGGGGTGTTTTCAGCTTTTTACGGCATATGGCTCGGATGATCTCAACGAGAACTATGCATTTTAAGGGCTGAGCCTTGGGAAGTTTGTGTGATGAAGCCAAAGGAAGGGAAGCGGTCAGGTCCTGCGAACTGTCCCAGTTGCAGAGTGAGATTCGAAGAAGATTTGCACACATGTTATAGGGGTCGACCAGGAATCCTTCATGCAGAGGACGCAGCGACTGAGTGAGTAGCACATGTTGAATGGAATCCACGTATATGTGAAGACCAAGCGCAGTGTGGATTGAAAAGCCGGAGAGCTGACGTCTGTGAGGCTCGTCGTGAGTAGCGAGCCGTGTCAAGACTTAAGGAGTGCATGTATGTCAAGCGCATCATACTATTTCATGCTCTTGGAGAAATGAGGGAGTCTCAGAGACAAACTGCCTTTTGATGTCCTAGTTTTGCTGACTTCTTGTCAGGACAGGCTCGAACGGTGCCTTAGGGTGTATTCGTTGGCAAGGGGAGCCTTGATATGTTATTCAAGGAAAGGTGACCGGGTGAGGCAGCTGAAGTCATGCGATACAACACTGTGCAGATCTCCTGGCTCCAGGAACAGCCTTCGAGCTTCATGAGTGCAAGATCTTGCGAATTGATACTAGTTCATCGAGCGGTTTGCTTAGCACAATCCTGCCACTGGCCATGTTGGCTTTGCTCTCACCAGCCGAGTGCTCAGCAAGCTTTTGCATGATTTGATGCCCAGGGTTGGGGAGGTACGGGATGGTGCTGCGTGTTTGCGCAAGTCGGCGCACTGATTCACAGTCCTTCCAGGTTGCAGGTGATTCAACACAAGCCCATGAACCGTAGCGTCTTGCAAGTTAAGGCGATGAAGTCTGTGCTTTCGTCAGTGTCAGGCAAAGACCCTGGATATGAGCCCGTCGGCGACCACCACGAAGTCCACCCCCAGTGCACTGCTCTCCAAGCGCACCGAGGATGCTGGTTTCAGGGTTTTCAGGGTCTCGCGTTTTCTTTGGACAGCCTGGACCAACAAAGCATTCGCGTGCACGAAGGCTGCAGGTGTCTCAAGTGTTGGGCTTGCCAAATGCCAGCAGGGCATTGAGTTGACACTCTAATGTGGCCGTGGACATTGTGTTGTTCTGAACGTTCCATGGGTTCAGGAGATCCTGGCCTCTCTGAAGAAGATGCCTGCCAAGGAGTTGAAGAAGCCATGCAGCCCAGTGCAGGGCAGTCCTCTGACGAAATCCGGTTCGGCTTCGGCCTTTTCCTGAAACGTGAGATTGTATTCTGAGGATGATGAAGCTCAGTGATGAGCTAGCCAAGCAGACTGCAGAGAGGCAGTGGTCCTCGTTTGCAGTGCAACATTCCACCCCCCCCTCCTTGCTGAATTCGCTCACACTTCTTTCTGCACCCCATCTATCCACTGCACGTGGCTCATGATGCAGCCAATGTGGCCACCACGATCTAATGCTAGAACTGTAGATTTCGGACAGTGCTTGCCGAGCACGGATATCCGAGCATGCACAGCACATTAAAATATCTGCCTGCAAAGAAGCCAGCGCAAACATACGCTTTGGTATGCCCATATGCCTGGACACCACTGGGACGACGTGCCGACCTCATCCAAAAGTTTGCATGTTGCTTCTCTGTGCTGCTTGTGCTTGTCCCTAGATGCCAGAAGTTTAAACCCGGAAGTGAAGCCTTTGAGATAGTGTACATGATTTGATGGGCTGTGCTCCGGACTTGGCTGTGGCCTCAGGTTCGTGTACAGCCTCTACGTAGAGAGCATCCTCCTTGCCACCTCCAGCATTGCCCTCCAGGGCAGAGAGGCACTTGATCGCCACATTGCTGTGAGTCAGATTCTCTCTCGCCCTCCACAGGCAGTTTGCCGCTGGACGTTGAAGGGAGTCGATGATAAGTCCACTCCCTTCCTTCTTCGCAGAGACCTCGGAAAGCTTAGCAACACCGATCTAGAGAATCAGGAAGGCCAATCAGTCCAGCCGCTGCAGTCTTGCTTCTTGTCGCCCAGTTTGCGAGCCTCACGGATGGCAAGGGTTCTGCTCCTTCGTTGTTGTGCCTGGCACTCAGATAGCGAGCTACCGGCATGTTCAGTCGTTTCCCCAGTTTTGGGACTCCGTGTGATATTCTCCACCTCGGTCCCTCTCCCATTGTTCTCTCAACCCACCCCCACCCTTGGTTGGGAATCTTGCCTTTTCCCACTGTTGTCTGCAGGAAATCAAACGGCATTTTCCGAGGTTCTTAGACGTCCGAAAAAGACTTCATAAGAAAGGTGTTGACTGCCATCATGGTCTTGAGACTCGCACCGCTCTTGCTGCTTCTGCTGCGATTCAATTGTCCCATGAGCCAAGACCAAGCCCAGCCAAGCCAGACCACTTCTAGGACCGCGCCCCATCCGGAGACTTTAGAAGCGGGTCGTGCCGCCTTTCGCGGTCCCCTCCTGCGAGCCCCACAATGTTACCCAATCCTGTTTGTGTCTTTGCCTTTGGCATGCCGGCAGATTTTCGTGACAGGGAGCGCCAGGTTGGCGCCTTCAGGCTTTTTGTGGCAAGGAGCATGGGGGTTACCCGTTAGGGCACACGTAATGATAGAGTCTGATAGAGCAAAGAGCCATACTGGGCAATGCTGTACTCATCAGGACAATACCTCCTTAGGTCCGATGCTGTAGTCTCTTTGGCGGGAAACATAAGACCATGAATGTGCGGATGGAGGTGGTTCGGTGGCAATATTCGAACAGAACCAACTCTGCAACCGGAGGCAGTTGCTTTAGCGAGCTTTCCGGCGACTGTTGGTTTTTGATGCGTCTCAAAGGTCATTCCCGACTCCTTCCCAGCGCTCGCTCTGCCTCCGGTGCAGGGCCCAGCTAGGGTCTCCGTGACATGTTGCAGCTGCAGTATGGTGGCAACATTGCATGCTTGGTAGGGTTCGCAACGACACCGCGACACATTTCAGAAGGGTAGCATCGCGTGAATACGGAACAGTTGCCAAAGTGCCGCGAAGATATCAGCGCATTCTCACGCATTGCCTTCAGTATGCATAGTACCGTCATCTTCCTTGGATAGCTACAGTTGAAACTGAACGAAGTTCCACCTTTGTTTCCCATGCTTTGTGAATGTAAGATAGTTTGAAGACAGCCATCTTCGTGTTTGTAAAGAATATCACCAAGATGATTTGCGCAGCCAAAACCTTCACCGGCTTCGCTGCTGTTGTTGCCGATAGCCTTGTCTGGCCAGGGTGGTCACAAGATCGTGTATTCCAAGCATGATCTTCATCATGTTGTCGTTTTTGTTGCGTGTTTCATTGAGTAGCTTCGTTGTTGCATATGGCCAAAAGCATTTCGACTTCCTGCGCGTCGTTGCGTGGGGATACGGCCCAGGCAGCAAAGCCTACCTGCTAACCAGCGAGAGCTTCCAGGAATACGAGATCTCCCAGATAGACCCGAGACGGTTGGATAGCATGCTAGCGCAGCTATATAAACACCTTTTGGGTCGGCGCGGTTTGCGCCTTTTCCACGGCGGAAGATGGCTTCGCTATAACTCTCGGAAATGCCTTTGCTGCCTTGAGGAAACTCTAGCTCCGATGCTTTGCCATGACGACTCAACGTCTTGTTTGTAATCGCACTATATCGCACTGAATTGACAGCTGACGCAGCAGGCTTCTGACAGGCCATCCTCCCCCCTCTGCCTCTATTGCCTTCGGATCACGAAAATGCAGAAGTGATGTGGCCTAAGCTGGGGGCCTGAAGGGGTTCTTGAGGTACAAACGCAAAACTGCTTCTGGAGTCGTCCTGACCTGGAAGGAATGTGTACGTTAAAAGTGCAACTGCAGTACATGGGCCACGTTCTAGGCAGTCCATGAGAATCTACAGAAAACGCCACCGCAGTCCGTGCATGAAAGTGCATGCACACTGACAATGACACGAACCTAGACAATATTCCGGAGTACTCTGTTTGTTTAGTAGGGTGGTGATAGCAAGCTGAGGCTGGCGGTGAGCCGGGTGTCAGCGGGTCTTTCCTCGCTGCCTCTTGCTGCAGCTCGGCTTAAATGTGCCGTTCCTGGATGGCGCTCCTTGATCCTTTTCCTTCTGCACCGAGGCGGACTTTGCGGTGGCCTTCGTCGACATCGCAGACCTCAGTGGCGAGGAGCGGTTCAAGGCTTCCTGAACCTGTCTTGTCAAAGGTTGTTGTTAATGACGCGGTCAGCCGCTTGCACTGTCTGCATGTCATGTCAACGAGGCGATTCCGACGACCGTTGTCATTTTTCTCGTTGCTACGATCCTTGCAGTTGTGGTATTTGGAGCTTGTAATCCTCCCCTCTTCGTCGTACCTCGTGTCGTTTGATTGTGTCGATGAGTCGCATCCTCATATTTCGTCCTCGTGGCATGTGTCGAGCTTGGCCTTTTTGTCGTCCCTCGAGTCTTGTCTTATGTTGTTTAGCGTCGTCTTGTACGTTGGTGTCACGTCGTGTCCTTGTATCATGTCAGTAGCTTCCTGTCACGCGTTCTTGGTATCGTGTCCTCGTGTCGCTTCTTGGTGTCGCGTCTGCATCTCGTCCCGTGTTTTGTGGTTGATTGTCGTAGCATATGTCGTGCCGTCTCTTTGTTCTTCGTAAGTCCTGCAGCGTCTTCTAATTCGCCTTCATAGTGGGTCTTTGTTGCCTCAAGCAGCATGCCGCTTGGCTTTTCGTGTGTCCCGTCCCGCGTCTTTTTTTCACTTCTGCAGAGGTTGCGAAATGAGGTCGTCAGCACTTCGAGTGTGTCAGCATTCTGGCTGCTCCAATTTGGTTTCGTTCTGGTAGTGTTGTCTGAATCAATGTTTGTGAGCGCGATGGGGTCTCGAACGATGGAAGCGAGTCCGTGCACGTAGATGACTCCAGCTGAGGTGGATCTTCTGGAGCTTCGCAACTCAGAGCTCCAGGCTGATCAGCAGAAGATATAAAAATCCGCTGGTAGTTGCAAACCTGAGTTTCTTTCCCCAAAAAGAAAGCAGAAGGCCGCAGGGCTTCCCATGGCTTGGCACAGGTGGTGGCCGTGGCCAAGCTCCACTCTGCAGCACAGCACCGGTGGACTCCCGAGCCGATGCCGCCACCGTCACAGGCTTTCGAGATCTTTCGGGTCCACGGAGATGTCCACGATTTGGGGGCTATATAGGACTATAGGGCCTTAGGGTAGCACCTAGAATCACTGACAGTCAGATGCCCTTCGCTTGCTTTTTCTCTGCGTCGTGCCAGGCAAAGTTCCTGGACTACACAGTGGATGCGCAGGCACCCTGCTTGCTCATGCCTTCTTCAACGGCGAGATGAGAGAGCTCCATCCTGGCAGTCCACGACGTACAAACCAACAAACCAGCAAGCAAGCAAACACACATATTGACCTTGCTGCTTGGCGCGCCGGGCAATTGCGTGACTGTGATGAACACGCCTGTCGAGAAGAACTGTGTAGATGGATGATTGATGTGAAGGTCGAACCTCCACTGCCTTGCCGAATGTTGTGTAAGCATGCCTTATGTTTGATTCATGTGTTGCCCGGACCTACCC